ATTTTGTAGGAATATGTGGTCGTTAAAAAATAGCTTAAATTGGCGCAAAAATTTTAACGTCGTTCCTCGACTGGTGTATCACCCGGCCCGCTTTTGATCGATCAATAGCCTTCCCTACCTGTATTAAATGCCCCTTTTAGTGCAACTGTTTAAAAGTTTGCTCCTGAATTAAGGTTGGTATCTCGTGATGGAGTGTTTTCTTTATTTCTTTTGGTAACTCGAGTCGCTTGCCACTTCTTCAGAAGACTGGCGTTTCACGGCGATTTTTCCTTTTGTCAGGTAGCAACTGCAATATTACAATTTGAGACTTGTAAGTCTAGCCATGGCATTTCTGGGATGTTGTTATCTCCTTCATATTCGTCATATGGTCGAAATGATCCGAAGCGGCAAGAGACCGATTTTCGACGCAATCGAAGTCGAAGATTGTAATCACTGAACGTCTTCATCTTCGCTTTCAACCTCTAGCTGTTTGGATAAATTGAAAGAATATCACATTGACAAGCCTGGAAGTCTCGGACAACAAGCCAAATTGGAAAGTGTGATGTAAGTCTGACTATCCAAATCCAAGCAGTTGACATAAATTAGTGGCGAACGCGAGAGCACTTCGCTGTTGATCTCAGCTACCTCCATCTCGACTGAGGGATTAGGTGGGGTGACGCTATATCAAAGGCATTCGTCGAGGGTAAGAGTAAACAGTAATTTTGGTCAGCGGGCAAATTATAAAACCCGCGAATATTGCGTAATCCCGCGAAAGGATGAAATTTAAAAACCAAAGACAATTTTTCACTCAGATACTAAAATGCGTAATGATGGCGACGACTCAGTAAATAGATGAGAATAATATATGTATACTGTGCTTTCATAAATTGTATGAAAGCATTCTTCGCAATAATAAACCCTACTTATCTAGTTGGTGGAAATGGGGCCTGAAAAAATTTTAGGTCCTTGCGAGAGTTGAACCTATGACCTCTGCGATACGGGTGCAGTGCTTTACAAACTGAGCTAACAAGCCAACTGGGAGCTGGTCATTATGTTGGTTCGTATTAAACCCTCCAATAAATTTGAATAAATGACAATCATATATGTGTACTGCGGTTTCATAAAATATACAAAAGCGTTCCTCGCAGTAATAAACCCTATTTATCTAGTAGCGACTAAGTACTGTAGAGATGACTTATTGACTTGCCCTGTTCTGCCAACAGAAGAGCGAACATGATAGGCATGGAATGTCTACTTTTAGTGCTTATAACAAGTGTAAAATTATTAAGTCGTAAGTGAAAAAAGCTGTTCCTTCAATTTAAAACGGCAGTCACTTTGAGAATAAAGGAACCCGTTATTTGCCTGTTATTATATTTTTAGTGAGGTCGCTGACGCCAAAACGGGCTGTCTTTCTCTATCCTGGCCTTGCATCGAGCTGGTGCACTTTAAACAGAAGGATGGGTACAAGTGCAGAATTCTCATTTGTCTCACGTAAGTAGCTAACTCGCTCTGCATCCACACGCTACATATAGTTTTTAAGTTTAATACAGAAGTCACTATTCTCATTAAATCAGGAGGTGTTAAGGTACGAAATATTTACCCTCACAATGTAACTAGGAAGAAAGTGCAGTCGATTAATATACATTAGCAACCAATTATTTCTGCCTTAAAAGGCATTTAACGGAATATTGCATATTCTTCACTCATTTTTCCCAATGATTGATTGTTATTTTCGATCGTTTCTTTCAGTTTGCTAGATGTTTGTGCGAAGAGTCCTCCGTAGATGCAGCTTTCAACATAGTAACCGAACGTGCACTAATAACGTCTAAGGTGTTTGGCTGTTGAGAAATATCAACGTCTGCATAGTGTGCTATGACGACGATGGAGAAGATTGGCAGGGATGCGACAGTTGTGGCCAGTACTTCCTCGCACGTTGAATCAAAGTGGATTTCTCAGACTGTCTCTACCTGCTTTGCCTGCCCTTGTTATTTTCACAACATCGTTGCGGATTAGTGACGTAAGTTGATGGTTGAGAATATTCTTCCCAGTGTGGGACTGGGTTAAGACTAAGTTAGGCTGTGTACAATTCTTGAAATTCCCGTTATTTCACGAGTTATTTGACGCTAAAGTGTTGAAAAGTTTTTCGCATTACGTAAATGAAAAACTGACTCAACGCAGCAAGGAGAATCTCCCTCAAAATTTACTTTTAAGAGTCGAAGTTACCGTCCAAAATTCAAACGTTGCTGTTAGGTTTATTAGCGCATTGATAACCTTGTAAATAGCTCAAACATACTGAAAAAATTTTCATTCGTTTTTGTTTATCTTCATCCTTTGCTCAGTACGATCTTAGGGGCTGACCATTTAACTCTTGAGAGGGGGGGTGGGTGATTTTTGAAAAAAAATTTCTTGCAAACGCTTGTTGGAAGAAAAATATTGCATGCAGCCCTAATGTAACAGAAGAAAAAGAGCATTTTCATAGGAAAAAAAATATCCTGCACAGCAGATTGCTAGAAAAAATATTTCTTGATGACCAAAAATCACCTACCCTCCCCCCCCTCCCATCAAAAGTTAAATGGTCGGCCCCTTACACATTTCGGGTTTGAACTTTTCGTGGGGAACACGTGCTGCAGCTTACACGCCATATTTTAAATTTAATTGCTGTACTATAGACTTGTGTTTTTTTGGACCCTCGACGAATGCCTTCGATATAGCGTCCCCCTGTTACCCCGATTACGTGACTACAGCGAATTGATAACATAGTTGGAAGCGTGGAATTGTGGGATACCTGACTAAACCTCCTTTGGTAACGTCTTAACTTTGCAATTTGTATTCCTTGTGTGCTTGATATGACGTGTTGGTGTTCTTTGCGACAAAAAATTTTAAAACACTGATCGAGCCGACTATTTATAGCTTATGTTCAGAGTTTTCTGCCATCGATCCTGTTCATCAATTATGTGTTTGACAGACTGTATGCACATTTGTTTCGCTTGAATCACAGGTGGCCCAAGCTCTGTCACAGGCTCTTTCACAGTGAATAATTAAAGAGTTTGTATAGTGATTTAGTTGGACTTGATTTTGAGCTCCGTAAATTTAAAGTTGTGTAAAATAATCAAAGAAATAAAGTCTTACCTTCATAGAGAGTAGTCGGTGTTGTTCTCCTCGCGATTTGAGGCCGTTTTGATGTGTTTTGGCTTGACGCCCTAAGTCACCGTGCACAAAATACAGGAAGGTCGGAAACTTCTGTTGACACATGCTCACCAAAATCGATGGAAAACAACACTTAAATACTTTCCCTCGGGTCAAAAATTGGCAGCACGAAAGCCAAATAGTCTTCCTTTAAGTTCACTGAAAAAAATCCCACAAAAAAAGGTTTGTCGAGCAACCAATCCAGCGAGAATTTCAAATTAACGGCCGCTCTGAATTCTTCAAATGCAAGGAAGGAACTTCTTGTGCAGCTGAGAGACCGTTAATGCGCGGTCAACCTGGACACTAGTCAAATCTCTCTCAACGGGTCCACCCCATAATCTTCTAACACCAACCCTTCACACATACTAAGGTACCCGGTATTTCTGTTACTATCAAGTATAACAAGAAAACAGTGAAGTTAAGATGGACAGTAACGACGATCTAGTCAAGTCGATGAGTTTGCCCGGGGTAGCTGAGTCGTTGGGATGAACATTCGACTGAAAGTTGATGGAAATATTCACTGGAGAGTAGTTGAACGATACATTGGTGAACGGCCCAGCTAGAACTCTTGCTGTTTGACCATCACTGCTGTTATTCATTGCTGTTGTGTTATTGTCAACTACTAATGGATTTGCAAGGCTGTTGACATAAATTTCTCGCAAAGCTTCGGTGCGTGTACCGTCGCTAGCGTTGGCAGCTGTGACAGTCGTAGTGGTACAACTGAAAACCCAACCAACCTGCTTGACATCCTTAGTTGCTTTTCTAATTAACAAATGGTAAACACCAGAGCGTACACTTTTGAGTTATGGATGCACGCGGGAGGTTGCTAAGCACGAAAGAAGCGTAAGAGTCGCGCGAGGCGATAGCCGAGAGCGACTCGAGCTTCTTGAGTGCTTAGCAAACCTCCCAAGTGCATCCATAACTCAATAGTGTACGCTGTGGTGTTTACCATTTGTTTTATAACATAACATTGATACATTGTAGCTAAAGAGTTCCCTTTTATTTAACAAATTTTACGTGACCAGAAAAAACAAGCGCGCGCGCAAAAATAGTCTTTGCATTTGCTCACGTCAGCAGCGTACACCCATGGGCAAATGTGGGTCGCTAAATTGACCAATTAGAGTGCGCGATTTACTTTGGTTATGTTATAAAAGATTATGGCTGTAGGTGGATATTGAACCAGGGTTGGCGTGACCTGTTAGCTCAGAGACTGTTTTTTCTGGGCTGTTTTTACAGGATTTTCTCGTTTTCGCGTTGTCGTGAGCGAAAGAGGTTTTTAATGCCTCTCCAAGAATTTATAGTTCAGTTCAAAATAAGGAAGAACCTCAGGCTCACTTTGAAATTCATTTTTTTTTTTTGTAGCTCTTTAAAAGGTGACAATGGTTTTGAAAACATTTGAAATTGACTTAGAAGCCAAACTTTGTAACAATTTGACGATAGTTGTGATGCTTACGTAAATGCGAAAGAATTTCGCTTAGCCTCGTTTTCAACTCGCAGTTCCACGTTGAATGCCTCGCTTCCTTAACCAATTAGAATGCGAGATTGTATTTAATGATGCGATTCTGTGTTTAACCATGTTTGAAGCATGCTCAAACAGTGTGAATGATATTCGAGATGAGGCCACAAAGAGGAAAAGGAGGTGAGGGTTGAGAGTTGTCATATAGAGTCTTTGCTACTCAGATTAACCCAACCCCCCTCCTCCCTTCCACTGGAATCTCATTCCTGCCAATGCTGCTTAACGCCGTGACGGTTGCCTGGTAGCTAAGCTGGCGTGATGCTACATGTGATACGCTGCGCGAAATTGAGGGTGATCTTTCGTCATCATATCCGTTTGTAAGCCTATAATAACATGGCTCCGTTGAAGACTGTTCTAGTCTTTGGAAAAGTTGGATTGGTTCAATGTCTTCTGTTGATTCTTTATTGTCAGCCTGTAGGTAAGCTGAGGTATTTTAATACTTTGTTTATCGCCAAACGTAATTTTCGTATCTGTAAATGTTTCGTTGCAGAGGCAATTGCGTGGATCTCTTTGAAACGCGAACCCGATACGGGAAATTAAAATTTCCCTTTCCTCACTCCGTTTCAAGAAATGGTCTATTGCTCCGACTCAACTTCTCACATTAAGTATTAGACAATATTCCTTTTGTTCTTTGTAGCGCCGAAAGACTTTGGCCGAAGCGACGCGAAAGAGTTCGTGACTAATCAGATTTTTTGTTGATATCGATAATTATAAAGGGCTGAAAGAAAGGTTCTCTAGATGAGACATCAATGTTAAACCTCACCACATTAAGTTGCCTTCTTCATCTTGTTCCCTTCCGTGCCTCACTAGGCTATTCCTTTCTAGCACAAGCTTCAAGGGAGATGACCTATTTTGTAAGAGAATACGGAGATGTCTATGTCAAATTGAAATCAATCAATCAACTTTATTTAACGAGGATAATACGAAAGAGAAGCGATGGCACTCTACAATTTTTGTTTTTTGTTTTTGATTTTGTTTTCGTTTCGTTAAGTTTAGTGTTTTTTCTTTTTTTTTTTCTTTTTTAATTTTCACTATATGTATAAATAAAAGATGCGTCTGTATGACCGGCAGCCGGACAGTTTTTTTCAAAATACCCCGTGTCCGGCAGTCAATTTTTTTTAATTCTCAAGTAATAATTGAAAATCCTCTTTTATATGGCTGAAAACTTCACTATTTCCACCGTAGTGCGATTTTTTGTGAGCTCGGCAACCGGTAACTCTGAAGCTCGCCGCGAGCCTCCTAGTCTCCTTCGCAGCCGCTCGGGCCGGAGTCACGCAACGCTCCCCGTCCCCACGCGCCGGACAGGAAATTGAAATACTCCGTGTCCGGCAGTCGAATATTTTCCCGAATACTAATTCATTCAGTCCACTCAATATATTCGAGCTATACTATCCTAGGCGATGCTTCTGTTGTTTACATGGCTAAAGAATACGATTACCATTGAAATATCAGTGTTTTGAAACTGCCGTGAATTGTAGTGTTTTTCACGAGCTTCCGGAGTCGAAATCGTAAATACTCCCTGTCCGGCAGTGAAATATTTCCCGAATATTAAGTCGATCTACTTAGTTTATTCGAGCTAAAACATCCTTGGCGATGCTGTTCTTGTTTGCATGGCTAAAGAGTACGATGACCACCGAAATACCTGTGTTTTCTGCTCCAAATGGCATTCACGAGATCCGGACACGAAATCGAATCGTAAATACTCCGTGTCCGGCATTAGATTTAGTTACAATTCACGGAAGTTTCAAAACACTGATATTTCGGTTGTAATCGTACTCTTTGCCATGTAAACAGCAATAACATCGCCTAGGATGGTATAACTCGAATATATTAAGTGGAATGACTTAATATTCGGGAAAATATTCGACTGCCGGACAAGGAGTATTTTCAATGTCAAGGAGTAATTCTTATCCGGAAGATCGCGGCGAGCTTCAAAGTTATAAATACCGGCATATCGGTGGCCGAGCTCACAAAAACTCACACTACGGTGGAAATAGTGAGGTTTTCAGCCATATAAAGAAGGATTTGTTATTATTAACTAGAATTAAAAAAAAAATAATAATTGGCGGGACGACAAGGAGTATTTTGAAAAAACTGTTCGGCTGCCGAACATATAGACACAGCCACAAATAAATCAACGCAACACACAGTCTTGAAAAATATTTGCTCAACAACAATAACAAAAACAAATCAAAGTGCTCTGTGAGCAAACTCGTGAATTGTCGACAGCATCTGAGATGACTTAAATTATTTTTTGGGTTATGTATAATGTTATTTGCATGGTTTAGGGAATTTTGTAGTTGACTGTCATATTTAGAGTACGAACGGTAGTTCAGAATTCGCGTTGACTCTGTTGGCTGAAGAGATATGATAAATTATTTCTCTAGTCAATAACTATTCAACGTAGTGACCTGCCAGTCCAAACGAGGGGGGTATTGCCTTCTCAATTCCTGAATCATCCAATACTTAGGCAATTGCCAAGGTATACTGATTTACAGTAAGTCAATTAGCCATTTTAAACTCAACAATATTTACTTCTCACTAAGAACGTGTTTTACATGTATTTGTTATGTGAACACCGACAAAAGTGACAGGAAAACTATAAGCGAGCTGAAACAGTGCAAGCATAAACTACAACAGAAGAGGAAAATGCTAAACGTGCATAAGTTTATAATTGTCGTGAGTAATTCATTACTGAACAATTATTTCCCAGTAAGCACGTGTCTTACAGGATTTATGTAAACAACGACAAAAGCAGACTTATTTGAAATGTACTTGAAACAGTGCAAGAATAAAATACATCAAAAATTACAAGAAAAATCTACGGCAGCCCAGAAGGCTCAACGCAAACAAAAAATATACTGCAGCAAATAGAAAATATACTGCAGCAGATAAAAAATATACCTCAACAAATAAAAAATATACTGCAGCAAATAAAAAATATACTGCAGCAAATAAAAAATATACTGCAGCAAATAAAAAAAAAAAAAAAAAAAAACACAGACAAAAAAAATTGGAACGCAATGCCAAGGAACATTGGGTAACAGTTCTTAGTTTCCCGCCAAAACAGCATGAACTGGAACTCGCTTTTGGTTATGGACGAAAGCGATCTGCGTAGGATTATAGAAGATTACTTTCATCAAGGGTATGGAAATAGAGTTATTGTCGATTTTTTAAAAGATTAGCATGGTGCTGTCATAAGTTTAGCAACTTTGAAAGGACGGCTAAGAGGATACGGCCTTCGAAGAAGAGGGTCATCTGTTGACGATCAACAGCTGAGGATCTTAATTCAAAGTGTAAGTTCAGGACCCGGGGAACTTCAGGGATATAGATCAGTATGGCATTCATTGCGAATAGAACATCATGTTCATGTTTCAAGACAACGTGTTGCCAACATTTTGAGAGAGTTGAATCCGCAAGGAGTTCAACAAAGAAGACGACGGCGTCTGAAAAGACGAAGATAGTTATTCGAACATATTATATTTTATTTGTTGAGGTATTATTTCTTTTCTTCTTTTAAAAGTCAGAAAGGGCCGTGGTTACGAAACCAAAGCAAAAAAGCGCCAAACCTGAAAATTTGAGTTTAGAAAAGAAAATATATTGTCAAGAATGAAAAATTTCTGGAGTTTGCCTAAACTTCAAAGTTGCCGACAGTCTGTTTTCTCCAATCATTTTCCCTTCAATCGCCATTTTGCCCTCTGTGAATCTCAGGGGTTCTTATTCGTTTGCAACATCCTCTGAGAAGGCGTGACATGGATTTACCACTCGAAAACTCGCTATATGATTTTTGAGAGATGTCCCCTCCACAAATGAGTTAATAGGATGTATATTCCGTTTAACGTGACTTGCATATCAATCGAACAATGTGCTGAAATCTCTAACTCTCAGAACTTTTATTGGACTGTTGCACCATGTACCGTAATTAATTTTATAGCCATGCGAAAGCGAAACTGCCACGCAAACACTGGACTTTAGTTCTTATTGAAAATAAAGCCCTTCACTTTAACCACAAATATGCAATTCACAAGCGCTATCGCAATTTTAATGTTTGTACGTGAAATCATGTTTGGTACAATCGTACAAAGCAATATTCTCTCAGGTGTCTCGTTAACACAGACCTCGAAAACGCAGACCGCAGACCACACACCTCGAAAGCTCACACCTCGAAAAACTTGTATACAGTGCGTAATCACCAGATTTATCTCTCTTCCTTTTGTTATTGATGTTATCAGACGAGATCTCGGAATTTCCGTTCTGCGAAAGCGAAACTGCCACCTACAAACACTGGACTTTAATTTATATTTAAAATACTGCGTTTACGATCCTCCACTGTTGAATTATTCGTGTACCTTTTTAGTCGACTTGTGTGTGCACTATCAGTTCACGTTTTCCTTTGCGATTGTGTTTACAGTATGTTATTACTTGTCAGTGATCTTATCATACGAGATCACAGAATTTCGCAATACACCGAAGTACCTAGTTAAGAATGTTTCTGTCGAAGAACTATCAGCCGATAGTTGCGGCTAAAGTCAAGGGCCGAGGAATGGAGTTCTGTGATCTCTTCTGATAACATCAATGTCAGTGACAAAAGAAAGATAGATAAATCTGGTAATTACACAGAGGAAAACTGATGGTTCACAAGTCGACTCAAAAGGCATACGCATAATAACCTATGCCTGACTGGTAACTCAGCAGTGGAGGATCGTAAACGCGATAGTTTCAATAAGAATTAAAGTCCAGTATTAACGTGGCAGTTTCGCTTTCGCATGGCTAGAAAATTAAAGAAACGCCGCGACCCAGCGCAAAATTTTGATGTAGGAGAAGTCAGTCGAAAACCCGAAGTAAAGTCGAAAGTTAGTCGAAAACGATCGAGTAAAAGCTCCATTAACCAGTAGTGTTTACAATTACAACCACCTACCACCCCTTCATGAGTAATAACACTCTTTCCCCATCCCTCCCTCAGTACTTGTCGACTGCACCCACCTCTCCCTGAGTAATAAAGGTGTACCCCCTTATAAAATCGTCGAAAAAGTCATCCGCCGCCAGCGCCGGACTGCTGTGCGGGAGGTCGAGAGTTCAATACCGGCCGGACCAACACTCAGGGTCTTAAAATTAATTGAGAAGAATATGCTTCCTTTCTTTAACATCAAGAAATGGTTAGATATTCTAGTCTTCTCGGATAGGGACGAATAAATGGAGGTCCCGTCTCCTGCAGGGTTGGGGTAGGAGACGTTAATTTCCCACGCACGAGATTACTGTGTGATGGATGTCCTCCCTGGGGTGGGTTAGGTGGGTAACAGGACCCCCGTTGATACCAGTGTTTACTACACTGAAGGGGCTATCCTGTATAAATATAGATGTCTGTCTGTCTGTCTGTCTGTGCAATACACCGAAACGCCAACGGTTACTGAGTTCAGTGTCTTGAAGAAGCTCGTCGCTCTTAATCCTGCCAAAGCTTCTGGGCCTTACTTCGTGCCCGCCTGGCTTTTGAAAGAGAACGCGAACCTATTGGCTCCTGTTGTTACTGATATTCTTAATAGCTCCTACTTGGAGCCTCGTGTCCCC